GTTTGTTTGCAATTGTTGCCACTAGTTAGTGTTAGTAGGTTGATACTTCAGGTTTGTTTGCAATTGTTGCCACTAGTTAGTGTTAGTAGGTTGATACTTTAGGTTTGTTTCCAATTGTTGCCACTAGTTAGTGTTAGTAGGTTGATACTTTAGGTTTGTTTCCAATTGTTGCCACTAATTAGTGTTAGTAGGTTGATACTTCAGGTTTGTTTCCAATTGTTGCCACTAGTTAGTGTTAGTAGGTTGATACTTCAGGTTTGTTTGCAATTGTTGCCACTAGTTAGTGTTAGTAGGTTGATACTTTAGGTTTGTTTGCAATTGTTGCCACTAGTTAGTGTTAGTAGGTGGATACTTTAGGTTTGTTTGCAATTGTTGCCACTAATTAGTGTTAGTAGGTTGATACTTCAGGTTTGTTTGCAATTGTTGCCACTAGTTAGTGTTAGTAGGTGGATACTTTAGGTTTGTTTGCAATTGTTGCCATTAGTAAGTGTTAGTAGGTGGATACTTTAGGTTTGTTTCCAATTGTTGCCACTAATTAGTGTTAGTAGGTTGATACTTCAGGTTTGTTTGCAATTTTTGCCACTAGTTAGTGTTAGTAGGTTGATAATTTAGGTTTGTTTCCAATTGTTGCCACTAATTAGTGTTAGTAGGTTGATACTTCAGGTTTGTTTGCAATTGTTGCCACTAGTTAGTGTTAGTAGGTTGATACTTCAGGTTTGTTTGCAATTGTTGCCACTAGTTAGTGTTAGTAGGTGGATACTTTAGGTTTGTTTGCAATTGTTGCCACTAGTTAGTGTTAGTAGGTTGATACTTTAGGTTTGTTTGCAATTGTTTGCCACTAGTTAGTGTTAGTAGGTTGATACTTTAGGTTTGTTTGCAATTGTTGCCACTAGTCAGTGTTAGTAGGTTGATACTTTAGGTTTGTTTGCAATTGTTGCCATTAGTAAGTGTTAGTAGGTTGATACTTTAGGTTTGTTTGCAATTGTTGCCATTAGTAAGTGTTAGTAGGTTGATACTTTAGGTTTGTTTGCAATTGTTGCCACTAGTTAGTGTTAGTAGGTTGATACTTTAGGTTTGTTTGCAATTGTTGCCACTAGTTAGTGTTAGTAGGTTGATACTTTAGGTTTGTTTGCAATTGTTGCCACTAGTTAGTGTTAGTAGGTTGATACTTTAGGTTTGTTTGCAATTGTTGCCACTAGTTAGTGTTAGTAGGTTGATACTTTAGGTTTGTTTGCAATTGTTGCCATTAGTAAGTGTTAGTAGGTTGATACTTTAGGTTTGTTTGCAATTGTTGCCACTAGTTAGTGTTAGTAGGTTGATACTTTAGGTTTTGTTTGCAATTGTTGCCACTAGTTAGTGTTAGTAGGTTGATACTTTAGGTTTTGTTTGCAATTGTTGCCATTAGTAAGTGTTAGTAGGTTGATACTTTAGGTTTGTTTGCAATTGTTGCCACTAGTTAGTGTTAGTAGGTTGATACTTTAGGTTTGTTTTGCAATTGTTGCCACTAGTTAGTGTTAGTAGGTTGATACTTTAGGTTTGTTTGCAATTGTTGCCACTAGTTAGTGTTAGTAGGTTGATACTTTAGGTTTGTTTGCAATTGTTGCCACTAGTTAGTGTTAGTAGGTTGATACTTTAGGTTTGTTTGCAATTGTTGCCATTAGTAAGTGTTAGTAGGTTGATACTTTAGGTTTGTTTGCAATTGTTGCCACTAGTTAGTGTTAGTAGGTTGATACTTTAGGTTTGTTTGCAATTGTTGCCACTAGTTAGTGTTAGTAGGTTGATACTTTAGGTTTGTTTGCAATTGTTGCCACTAGTTAGTGTTAGTAGGTTGATACTTTAGGTTTGTTTGCAATTGTTGCCACTAGTTAGTGTTAGTAGGTTGATACTTTAGGTTTGTTTGCAATTGTTGCCACTAGTTAGTGTTAGTAGGTTGATACTTTAGGTTTGTTTCCAATTGTTGCCACTAATTAGTGTTAGTAGGTTGATACTTCAGGTTTGTTTGCAATTGTTGCCACTAGTTAGTGTTAGTAGGTTGATACTTCAGGTTTGTTTGCAATTGTTGCCACTAGTTAGTGTTAGTAGGTGGATACTTTAGGTTTGTTTGCAATTGTTGCCACTAATTAGTGTTAGTAGGTTGATACTTCAGGTTTGTTTGCAATTGTTGCCACTAGTTAGTGTTAGTAGGTGGATACTTTAGGTTTGTTTGCAATTGTTGCCATTAGTAAGTGTTAGTAGGTGGATACTTTAGGTTTGTTTCCAATTGTTGCCACTAATTAGTGTTAGTAGGTTGATACTTCAGGTTTGTTTGCAATTGTTGCCACTAGTTAGTGTTAGTAGGTTGATACTTTAGGTTTGTTTGCAATTGTTGCCACTAGTTAGTGTTAGTAGGTTGATACTTTAGGTTTGTTTGCAATTGTTGCCACTAGTTAGTGTTAGTAGGTTGATACTTTAGGTTTGTTTGCAATTGTTGCCACTAGTTAGTGTTAGTAGGTTGATACTTTAGGTTTGTTTGCAATTGTTGCCATTAGTAAGTGTTAGTAGGTTGATACTTTAGGTTTGTTTGCAATTGTTGCCACTAGTTAGTGTTAGTAGGTGGATACTTTTGGTTCTGATGACAGTTATTGATATGTTTGATGGTAGAGAACAACCACACGAGGGCTGGATCCTAAGGCAGTGGTTGGTGGTGGCTCTACAGAGATCACGGCGGACAAGGATTAGTTTTATTTTCTTGCCAAGACATATAGGGGTACAAGGAAATGAGCAAGCTGATAGATTTGCAGGTATGGCTTGCAGGTGAAAGCCGGGCAAGCCATGGACCAGGCTGATATACTGAATACCCTACTAGATTTAAGATGTTTGTGTGAACTAATTGAGAACTGATGAATCTGCAACCATGGTCAGACAGCAAGTTAATGGGGTGTCGCTGAACAAGAACACTATGTGCGTAGTTAAAGAATAATAATAAACCAACACAGAACTGGAGTCATCAGCCACTACACACTGCAGGATTTACTGAGGAGGGGATCCGAGCACTTATGGGCTGCTTAGTTTGATGTGCAGTGAGGATAATCTGTCAACTAACTAACTAAATAAATAACTAACTAACTAACTAACTAACTAAGCCACACAAAGAAGTCATGGATGAATGAAACCATTCTCTAAAAACAGTGTGGTCTTTGGGAGAAGGCCAGATGTTGGGGCAGTAATCTCTGTTGAATGGCTCAAAACTTGTTGACATAGCCACAATTAGATAATGTCTGCCATTTTCTCTTGTAGTCTTGCAGGATTTTCTTCTGAGTCAAAAGTTCACAAACTGGCAGAAGCTATGGAAAAATCAGTGGCAGTTCCTAGTACTAATGTGCTTATGTACTAATGTGCTTATGTACTAATGTGCTTATGTACTAATGTGCTTATGTACTAATGTTAGTTAGTTAGTCTTTCCTCTTGTGTCGAGTGCGGCACATAGGGCAGAGGTCGTGACTCTCCATGCACGGCGGTCCGTTGCAATCCGTTGTAGGTCTTGGATGTTTGAGTGGCCCATGAGCGAGCCTTCCCTGATGATAGTTCTACGTAGGGTTTCCCTTGGTCTTCCACGAGATCTTTTCCCCTGTGGTGTCCAAATGAGGGCTTGGTAAGGAAGTCTTGATTTATCCATTCTAAGGACGTGGCCGACATAGTTCCAGCGGCGTTTTCGTATAAAATTAGACACATACTCTTGCCTGGATTCTAATGTGCTTATGTACTAATGTTACCTTTTAATGTGACCTCTGTATTGTGTATGAACGTGACCTCTGTATTGATCTCTGTATTTTTTGTATTTATGTATTAACCTGAACTCTGTATTGTTGTTGAGTTGCTGTGTACTGTCATGACTGCTGTATTTTTGTGTGGTTGTGTATTAATGTGACCTCTATATTTGTTGAGTTGCTGTGTACTGTCATGACTGCTGTATTTTTGTGTGGTTGTGTATTAATGTGACCTCTGTATATTTGTTGAGTTGCTGTGTACTGTCATGACTGCTGTATTTTTGTGTGGTTGTGTATTAATGTGACCTCTGTATATTTGTTGAGTTGCTGTGTACTGACATGACTGCTGTATTTTTGTTTGGTTGTGTATTAATGTGACCTCTGTATATTTGTTGAGTTGCTGTGTACTGTCATGACTGCTGTATTTTTGTGTGGTTGTGTATTAATGTGACCTCTGTATATTTGTTGAGTTGCTGTGTACTAACATGACTGCTGTATTTTTGTGTGGTTGTGTATTAATGTGACCTCTGTATATTTGTTGAGTTGCTGTGTACTGACATGACTGCTATATTTTTGTGTGGTTGTGTATTAATGTGACCTCTGTATATTTGTTGAGTTGCTGTGTACTGACATGACTGCTGTATTTTTGTGTTGTTGTGTATTAATGTGACCTCTGTATATTTGTTGAGTTGCTGTGTACTGACATGACTGCTGTATTTTTGTGTGGTTGTGTATTAATGTGACCTCTGTATATTTGTTGAGTTGCTGTGTACTGACATGACTGCTGTATTTTTGTGTTGTTGTGTAATAATGTGACCTCTGTATTGTTGTTGAGTTGCTGTGTACTAACCAGTCTCTGTATTGTTGTTGAGTTGCTGTGTACTAACCAGTCTATGTATTGTTGTTGAGTTGCTGTGTACTAACCAGTCTATGTATTGTTGTTGAGTTGCTGTGTACTAACCAGTCTATGTATTATTGTTGAGTTGCTGTGTACTAACCAGTCTATGTATTGTTGTTGAGTTGCTGTGTACTAACAAGTCTCTGTATTGTTGATTTATTCCACAGATGCAATGCTTTGGGGATACATCCTGAGGATGTGCCAGGCTAAAGGCTGCAGGCTGCTATTGAAAGATTTGATTGTTTAGTGCAGCCAGAATCTACATAATGTCATTGCTCCAGCAGTGACTGTCTGTGTCAGCAAGTTGATTGAGATACACAACTGAGACTTGATACTTGGCCACACTTGAGTACAATATGGGCAACAAATATTCATGCTGTGTCTACCACAGCCCCAAGAACCACAGTCAGAAAAAGGCGGAGGCCTACATCCAACAACAGCCTCGGACTCCAGTCGGAGAAGAGAACCTGGCCAGCCTTGCACAGCCACAGAGCACTGGTTCTCTCTCAGGTGTTCCACACATCAGTGAACGCGAGCCAGAAGGTAGGATCTCCGCCATCTTCACCAGCATGTAGCAGACTTTTCATCTCCCTCACATGTTAATGACTATTGATCTTCTTTGGCCTCCCTGTTTTTTGTGTGCTCTTTTTCCCTCACTTTGTTGTCCTCACTTTGCCCTGTACTCACTTCATTGTCATCACTTTGCCATAATTTTCCTCTCACTTTGACCACTCATTGCCCTCACTTTGCCCACTCATTGCCCTCACTTTGCCCACTCATTGCCCTCACTTTGACCACTCATTGCCCTCACTTTGACCACTCATTGCCCTCACTGTGACCACTCATTGCCCTCACTTTGACCACTCATTGCCCTCACTGTGACCACTCATTGCCCTCACTTTGACCACTCATTGCCCTCACTTTGACCACTCATTGCCCTCACTGAGACCACTCATTGCCCTCCCTTTGCCCACTCATTGCCCTCACTTTGCCCACTCATTGCCCTCACTTTGCCCACTCATTGCCCTCACTTTGCCAACTCATTGCCCTCACTTTGCCCACTCATTGCCCACTCATTGCCCTCACTTCCTACTGAACTGACATTGATGCTGTGGTGTGGACAAGACCTGAGGCAAATGAGAAAAGTGGTAAACAAATTAATGAAAGAAACAATGTAATTAGTGGACGGATGGAAATGAATGGATGAAAGCAACAGTCAATTGATGAGTGAAACAGTTACAAAATGAAAATAAATAGTTACAACAACACAGTGCTGTCATTCCTCACACCCCCCTCCCCCCCATCCCCAACAGTGATGTCTTGCATCATCCCCACAGAATTATGTCTTATCTCACCCCCACATATCTTATCTTACCCCTACACAATTGCATGTTACCTCACACACCCCCTTCCCCCCAACCCCACACAGAATGATGTCTTGCCTCATCTCCCTCATGCTGTCCCATCTTATCCCCCACACAATGCTGTGCTATTGTATCCCTCACACAATGCTGTCCCATATTATCCCCCACACAATGCTGTGCTATCATATTCCTCACACACAATGCTGTTCCATCATATCCCCCACACATTGCTGTCCCATCTTATCCCCCACACGATGCTGTCCCATCTTATCCCCCACACAGTGCTGTCCCATCTTATCCCCCACACAATGCTGTCCCATCTTATCCCTCACATAATGCTGTCCTATCTTATCCCCCACACATTGCTGTCCCATCTTATCCCCCACACAATGCTGTCCCATCTTATCCCCCACATATTGCTGTCCCATCTTATCCCTCACACAATGCTGCCCCATCTTATCCCCCACACATTGCTGTCCCATCTTATCCGCCACACAATGCTGTGCTATCATATTCCTCATACACAATGCTGTCCGATCTTATCCCCCACACAATGCTGTCCCATCTTATCCCCCACACAAAACTGCTATCATATCCCTCACACAATGCTGTCCCATCTTATCCCCCACACAGTGCTGTCCCATCTTATCCTCCACACAGTGCTATCTGACCTCATCCCAACCCCTCACCTCCCCCAACACACACAGTGCTTGCTTTCTTGCACCATTCTCTACACAGTGCTATCTGTGACCTCCCCTGCCATGATTGTTGTTGTGGCTTGATTGTGGTCTGCTTGTTTGTCACAGACAGTGATCATGACCCGTCCAGTCATCCGGCTGCCAGACCCATATTCTCTACCAGATCTCAGGTGGAAGTCCAACGAAGTGAGTTTGCCTTCTACTTTCTATTGTGCTATGTTACATATTATATTGTATGTATGTGTGCTTAAAAAATTATATCTTGGGCTTGATTATACATCTTAAACATGACAGTACTGTCTATGTCATCTTGTGCCATCTGGAACGTCTGCAGTATATGTTGTTTCAAGACAGTGCTGTCTATGACATCTTGTGCCATGTTGAACATTCTACTGTTTATGTTTATTCATGACAGTGCTGTCTGTAAACATCTTGTGCCATGTTGAACACTCTACTGTTTATGTTTATTCATGACAGTGCTGTCTATGACATCTTGTGCCATGTTGAAAACTCTGCTGTTTATGTTTAATTATGACAGTGCTGTCTATGACATTTTGTGCCATGTTGAGCACTCTACTGTTTATGTTTATTCATGGCAGTGCTGTCTACGACATCTTGTGCCATGTTGAACACTCTACTGTTTATGTTTATTCACGACAGTGCTGTCTATGTTATTGTGTGATATTTTGAACACTCTATGTTTGTGTTTATTCATGACAGTGCTGTCTATGTTATTGTGTGTTATGTTGAACACTCTACTGTTTATTTTTATTCATGACAGTGCTGTCTGTGTCATCTTATGTCATGTTGAACACACTACTTTTTGCCATCTGGAACGTCTGCAGTATATGTTGTTTCAAGACAGTGCTGTCTATGTCATCTTGTGCCATCTGGATCGTCTGCTGTATATGTTTATTCATGACTGTGCTGTTTATGACATCTTGTGCCATGTTGAACATTCTACTGTTTATGTTTATTCATGACAGTGCTGTCTATGACATCTTATGCCATGTTGAACACTCTACTGTTTATGTTTATTAATGACAGTGCTGTCTATAACATTGTGTGGTATGTTGAACACTCTACTGTTTATTTTTATTTATGACAGTCCTGTCTATGACATCTTGTGCAATGTTGAACACTCTACTGTTTATGTTTATTCATGACAGTGTTGTCTATGACATCTTGTGCCATGTTGAACACTCAGCTGTTTATGTTTATTCATGACAGTGCTGTCTATGTCATCTTGTGCCATGTTGAACACTCTACTGTTTATGTTTATTCATGACAGTGCTGTCTATGTCATCTTGTGCCATGTTGAACACTCTACTGTTTATGTTTATTCATGACAGTGCTGTCTATAACATTGTGTGGTATGTTGAATACTCTACTGTTTATGTTTATTTATATCATTGCTGTCTTTGACATCTTGTGCCATGTTGAACACTCTACTGTTTATGTTTATTAATGACAGTGCTGTCTATAACATTGTGTGGTATGTTGAACACTCTACTGTTTATGTTTATTCATGACAGTGCTGTCTATGTCATCTTGTGCCATGTTGAACACTCTACTGTTTATGTTTATTCATGACAGTGCTGTCTATAACATTGTGTGGTATGTTGAATACTCTACTGTTTATGTTTATTTATATCATTGCTGTCTTTGACATCTTGTGCCATGTTGAACACTCTACTGTTTATGTTTATTCATGACAGTGCTGTCTATAACATTGTGTGGTATGTTGAATACTCTACTGTTTATGTTTATTTATATCATTGCTGTCTTTGACATCTTGTGCCATGTTGAACACTCTACTGTTTATGTTTATTAATGACAGTGCTGTCTATAACATTGTGTGGTATGTTGAACACTCTACTGTTTATGTTTATTCATGACAGTGCTGTCTATGTCATCTTGTGCCATGTTGAACACTCTACTGTTTATGTTTATTCATGACAGTGCTGTCTATAACATTGTGTGGTATGTTGAATACTCTACTGTTTATGTTTATTTATATCATTGCTGTCTTTGACATCTTGTGCCATGTTGAACACTCTACTGTTTATGTTTATTCATGACAGTGCTGTCTATAACATTGTGTGGTATGTTGAATACTCTACTGTTTATGTTTATTTATATCATTGCTGTCTTTGACATCTTGTGCCATGTTGAACACTCTACTGTTCATGTTTATTCATGACAGTGCTGTCTATGACATCTTGTGCCATGTTGAACATTCTACTGTTTATGTTTATTCATGACAGTGCTGTCTATGACATCTTGTGCCATGTTGAACACTCTACTGTTTATGTTTATTCATGACAGTGCTGTCTATGACATCTTGTGCCATGTTGAACACTCTGCTGTTTATGTTTATTCATGACAGTGCTGTCTATGACATCTTGTGCAATGTTGAACACTCTACTGTTTATGTTTATTCATGAGAGTGCTGTCTATGACATCTTGTGCCATGTTGAACACTCTACTGTTTATGTTTATTCATGAGAGTGCTGTCTATGACATCTTGTGCCATGTTGAACACTCTACTTCATGCATGACAGTGCTGTCTATGACATCTTGTGCCATGTTGAACACTATACTGTTTATGTTTATTCATGACAGTGCTGTCTATGACATCTTGTGCCATGTTGAACACTCTGCTGTTTATGTTTATTCATGACAGTGCTGTCTATGACATCTTGTGCCATGTTGAACACTCTACTGTTTATGTTTATTCATGAGAGTGCTGTCTATGACATCTTGTGCCATGTTAAACACTCTACTTCATGCATGACAGTGCTGTCTATGACATCTTGTGCCATGTTGAACACTCTACTGTTTATGTTTATTCATGACAGTCCTGTCTATGACATCTTGTGCCATGTTGAACACTCTACTGTTTATGTTTATTCATGACAGTGCTGTCTATGACATCTTGTGCCATGTTGAACACTCTGCTGTTTTTGTTTATTCATGACAGTGCTGTCTATATCTTGTGCCATGTTGAACACTCTGCTGTTTATGTTTTTTTCATGACAGTGCTGTCTATGACATCTTGTGCCATGTTGAACATCCTGCTGTTTATGTTTATTCATGACAATGCTGTCTATGACATCTTGTGCCATGTTGAACATTCTACTGTTTATGTTTATTCATGACAGTGCTGTCTATGACATCTTGTGCCATATTGAACACCCTACTGTTTATGTTTATTCATGACAGTGCTGTCTATGACATCTTGTGCCATGTTGAACACTCTACTTCATGCATGACAGTGCTGTCTATGACATCTTGAACCATATTGAACACTCTACTGTTTATGTTTATTCATGACAGTGCTGTCTATGACATCGTGTGCCATGTTGAACACTCTACTGTTTATGTTTATTTATGACAGTGCTGTCTATGACATCGTTTGCCATGTTGAACACTCTGCTTCATGCATGACAGTGCTGTCTATACACCACAGTATAATTTTATTCATGACAGTGCTTTCTATGACATATCTTTCTTGGCCTGTTGCCTTCTTGAGCTTCGCCTCTAACACATAATTTATGCTAACAGGTGTTTATCCCAAACTTCTGATCAACAAAAAACTATATCATTACAAGACTGGTTGGCAGTTGTGTTCGGAGTGATTGGTTATGTGTTAAGTTGTTGGTTGTTGTGTATAAAGTGGTTGGTGGGTGTTGAGTAGTTGGTTGTTGTGTGTTGAGTTATGAGTTAGATTATCCTCACAGCACTCCGGACACATCCATAGGCGCTCAGATTCCCCTCTCAACATATTTATCAGCATCGTGCCGTTAATAGTACCAGTCCTATTTTGGTTAACAAGACTTCGTGTGCGTCCAGTGTGCTTCTCATGCTTGGCTGTGCTGTCTTTACTCCCAATTCGTGTATTCTTATCAGTGATGTGGACAAAATCTTCAGAACATCCTATCTCTCTAAGAGCGATGACGATGTCTGCGTGATCCATGGGGCGGCCATCTTCAATTAATGCAGCACCTGCCATTCTATCAGCTCTCTCATTACCAACAACCACTGCATACCCTGGGACGAATATGAAAGTAACTGCACACACAGAAGAATTTTGCAAAGACTCAAGCCACTGTCTGCGTTACCAGCCTGCCTCGACCCGCCGGATTATGCTCAAAGAATCACTCAGCACACACACACACGGGAATAGTCCTGTGATCCCAACCACATGAAAGCCTGTGTCACCGCCATCACCTCCATTGTCATGCTGCTGGTGGTCATGGAGAAGGCACGACTGGCTTCCTTAATTGTTCTGCCTGAAGAGCGAGCTGTAAATGCCCATGCACTCTTATGTCCTCCTATAACGGACCCGTCTGTGAAGAACACCACATCTGTCTCATCTGACTTGTCACTGATAAGTGCACATACCTCGGCATCGACAGCAGCTGGATTCTGCCCCCGTCAATTCCTATCGAGCGTCACGACACAGGAGAATGTGAGATTGGGCGCTTTAGACTCTGGTATCCACTCCTCACCAGGATGGATGTCTGTAAAGCTGCAAACCTGCATGATGTCATCCTCTGCCCTACCCAGCCATGATTTTCTCCTTTTAAGCCTATTGTCCTTTTTCTTGTAGAGCATGTGGTGCAAAAGGTGCTTCAGATCTGAGATTATCTTGAGGTGTGCCAGATCTTGATCCTGTAGTTCATGGTAGGGAAGTCAAGAAGGTACCTCATTGCTACACAAGAGGTGTCTCCAGTACACCCTAGAATAATGCGCATTGCTTCATTTTGCACCTTCTCAAGTCTTTCAATCTGAGTATGGCTGACAGTGAGGATGGCAAGAGCATATTCGATGGGAGAAAGTACAGGTCCCTGGAACAGAAGCAGAGGCAGTCTCTGCTCAGTTAGCGGCAGCCAGGATCCTCATTGCTGACAGGCCTTTGCATGTTTTTGTTATGACGTGGTCAACATGTTCTTTGAGGATGGGCTGCGATCTAACCTCACTCCAAGGTATGTCATCAGATTTGTTCTCGTCAAAATTTCATCGCTACTTTCCACTGCTGGTAAGTCTGCCTTCACTATATGCGTGTTCAAGAAGAACCACGTTACTGAGGCCTTCGCAGGGTTGACATGAGCATTAGAATCTTCACACCGGGAAGAGATGCGATTAGGTTTACTCTGCAGTGACTTGGCAATCTCTTGACG